GTTTTTTTAGTGAGAGCAATCTATTGTGCTTTTCTCTAACAACCCTGATCAAAGAGATTAAGATCGGTGTGCAATCACTAATGGGAGTGGTAAGACAATCCATAGGATATACCTGGGGGAAATTGTACACACAGAGTAATCACCATGAGGGCTGAAAGACTGTCAGCTACACTGATTTACTAAAGGTGTCTTAAAAGTGTATTAGAATAAATTAGAAAATCTAAAATTGTCATTAGGAAATACGAGTAATCAAACTAGTCAAATAAAACAGTAAGTTAGAGCAGTGCACTGTTAGAACTGATTAGAGTTTGTTGAAGCCCTCTGTATGAAAATGATTGTTTAAGTAAACAAAGGGTGTGTGTTTAAGTAGCAAATGCAGCAATTAGAAATCTGGGAAGTACTTACAAATAGACCAATCGTGGTTTTGTGCTCACATCCTCCAGCACAAAAAGCTGAGCAACCAGAAGTGGAGACCAAGTATGGGAGAGTCCGAGGGTTCCAGTTCAAAGTGGACACAGCTGAGAGGAGTGTAAATGTCTTTTTGGGACTTCCTTTTGCTAAACCCCCACTTGGACCCCTGAGGTTTTCTGAGCCGCAGCCACCTGAGCCATGGAAAGGTGTCAGAGATGCCACTTCCTACCCACCAATGTAAGGCAGTGACAAAACTGCTGGATTTTTAAATGATTTTATATTTATATATTATTTCTATGTCATGTAATAATTTAGATACTATTTTAATAATTGGTATAATTATTATACATTCTGTTATGTTAATATTATATTTTTCTGTTTTAATTACTTTATACTAGTATAATATTAATTTATCTTAGATTAGATTAATAAATATCTACACTTATAGTATTGTATGTTCTATAATTTATATTATTTGTATTTGTACATATATTATTGTAATACTTTGTATAATTTATATAATTTCATATTCTATTTCTATTATATTATAAGCAGTTTCATGCCACTGCTGCACATCCAGGGCAATCAAACCCCACACAGATAAATTCCTTGGTGCCATCTCGTTCCATCTGCAGCTGTTACAGGGAATGCTTTTCTAAAGACATCTCTCTTTGCTGCCCTCCTTCCTGCTGTTTAATGGGCATCAGGGATGAACTGAGGAGCAGAACTTGGCTGATAATCCCCTGTCTTGGGAGCATTTGGCCATCACTGAGCAATGTTTATAAACCTTTGGAGTACAGATAAAGGAGAAAATGCTGAGTCCCGTGGTTAACAGGGCACATAAGAAATGCAGGGCAATTCTAGTCTGTGCTGTAAATGTTTTACCCGTTTGTCCTCCTGCCCTTCTTTAGTGCCTCAAGTCCAGTACCTCCCCTTACAATGCCAAAAGCTACTGGAGATGTAAAATAAGTAATTTACATTTTCCCTGAAGGTATTTATAGCCACGTGTGTTTGCAGATGTCGTTCTGTGATATTTTGAAGCGTGCCAAATGTATCTGCATGTCCCTGTGAATTGCATTGTATCTCATTAATGAGAGCTCAAAGCAAGACAATCTATTGTTATTTTTTCAGGTGTGTGCAGGATCCAGTCCAAGGACAATATTTTTCAGACCTGATTACCAATAGAAAGGAGAAGGTTCCTCTTCAGGTGTCTGAAGATTGCTTGTACCTCAATGTGTACACTCCCGTTCCTGCAGGAGAACAGCACAAGTTGCCTGTAAGCAAAACCATTGTAAAACCTGTAGGAAATTTATTTCATGCTTGATTTCCTCTAAATAATTTGTCCAAAGTCACAGGGCACTGGTAAAGTGTAGGTATTTAACAAAATGCCATTTTGTAGACTTGCAGATCTGAAAGGTTTCTACTGGTTTTGAAGTGTAATCTGAAAGAGTCAGGAGGGAAACAACAAAAGATATTGTATTTGGGGTTCTGTTTAGTTTTTATCACTGGGAGCTGACATCTGTGCTGGGTTGATTCTGGTTGTGTCTTTCCAGGTCTTTGTATGGATACATGGAGGTGGATTAGTTTTTGGAGCAGCTTCGACATATGATGGTTCAGCATTAGCAGCCTTTGAAAATGTGGTGGTTGTAACAATTCAGTACAGATTAGGTGTTCTTGGATATCTTAGGTAAGATGTTTTATCTCATTTTTTGCCAAATGATGTGTGCCAAGCCTTTGTGAAGTGCAGGAGACTTGTTTGTGCAAAGAAACTGCATTTCTTCGTTGCATCTGCAACAGTTGGGAACAATTTACCAGTGCCAGCTCAGCTTTCAGATCCATCCTTCTGGGATTGCTGCTCTCATTTCAAGGCTCTCTGTTTCTCACTTATGGAGAGAAGTTCTGTGTAGGGAATGGCAGATGATTTCTCACACCACAGACTGTATTTTCCTCTGCCTTTTTGCTTGCCCTGAGCATTGAAAGCAGCGTGTCCCTTCTCTGCAGCACTGGGGATAAACATGCCCGAGGGAACTGGGGATATTTAGATCAAGTAGCAGCTCTTCAGTGGATCCAGGAAAACATCAGACATTTTGGAGGAGATCCAGGATCTGTCACTATCACTGGAGAATCTGCAGGAGGAATCAGTGTTTCTGCTCTGGTAAGTTCACAGTAACCTTGAACTTTATTTATGGGATAAAAACACCATCCGTGTTCATTTTCAGTGTCTGCATGAGAAGTCTGAGAGCAAAGGGATGGTGTTACAGTAAATGACACATCACCTCTCTTTGGGCTACAACAGGACAAGTACTTGTAGTTAAGTCCCAAAGTGTTCTCTCTCATCCACTACATTAAATTTGCTGTGTTTGCTTTTTCCAATGCAAACGAACCTCCCAAAGTCTAACCCTGTGAGAAATGTCCTGTAAGGGGACTCATGGACTGGCCACTTGTGCAAAGCAATCGAGGTGAACAGTCATGAGAGCTGAACTGGACACACATTTTGTGTCCCAGGGACTGTAACATTTGACATCACCACTGAGCACACTGGCTAAGATGCTCTTCTTCTCCAGCCTCTCCCAGTTTGGTGCAGCTCACAGAGTGAAACCAGGGTTCCTTGTTACAGGGGATAAAAGTTCCTAAGCTTGGCCCTCCTGGCCAAGAGCTCTTTATTCCCCTTTGGCAGCACAGCCAGACTGCCCTGGGCATATTCAATGAGTTTCTGCTTTGCAGGGGAGCTCCATGAAGTCCTGGAAGCCAAATGCTGTGGGAGGGGAAAACACAGGCATGAAATCCTTCTCCCTGATAGTGCTGCCAAAGGCCTTTGCTCAGCTGAACTCTGCTCAGAGGCTGCAGAGTAACAGTCTTAGGACATTTGCTTTCAGAATGCTTTACATGGCAATTGCTGAGATCAGAATTCTTGTTCAGTGGTTAAAACAAAATGCTTGTCATGCCTGTTCTTGCTTTTTCCCAGGTCCTCTCTCCCCTGGCAAAGGGCTTGTTCCACAGGGCCATTTCAGAGAGTGGGACTGCACTCCTGAGTTCGTTCACTGACCAGCCTAAGGAGGAGGCACAAGTGGGTATTTTGTGGTAATTTTAATTCTTTTTTTTCAGAAAGCTTTGCATAACTTAAACTTTTTGTATTTCTGTATTAAAAAAGAAAAAAAAAATGGAGGCAAAGTTTTGTGGCTTTTGCCCAGCCCACAGTGAGAAGGTGAAGAGGGCTCCTATTCCCTCCCTCTGCAGCTGGGCCATGCCAGGCTCCAGCCATCCTCAGGCAGGAGTTTGTGCTCCCACACTGGGCTCTTGGGATGGGTGCCTCATACAGTCAGATAGGGGAAATGTGTCCCAAAGTGTTTGTTTTTATTGCTTACAGAAAATTGCTGCTCTCTCTGGCTGTGAGAAATCCAGTTCAGCTGCAATAGTCGAGTGCTTGAGAGAAAAAACTGAAGAAGAGATAATACAGCTAACACTAAAAATGGTAGGGAAAATGATTTCTCTTGCATTTAAAGGACATTTCAAGTGTTATCATCCCAGAGAGTCCGATCTGTGTGTTGTGATATCAGGAGAATATCAGTGAGTGTAACCTCTGACTTTGTGGACCTTTTCAGGACATGGCAACACTGCGGTTGTGCAGCACCTCCCCTGAGAACTGCAAGCAGGTACTGCCCTTTCTGCAGGCAACACTTGTGGCTGCTGCCATGCTCTACCAGGGCAAGGGAAAGAGTGGGGGAAATGTCACAGTTTCACCTGCAGAACCTGGAAATTAATTACTATAATAGATTATGTCCACCTTAAAAGGTGTTATCACAGTGCTGGGCTACGAGTGCCTCTGACATTTCAATACACGAGTTGGTTGCTCCCCCACTGCTCCACACACCCCTAACAATACTGAGCTAAAAAAAGATGTCAATTGGACATCATCACTTCTGTTTCACAAACATGAGAAATGAAATGCCAATCCTCTCAGAACCTCCTGCCTAGTGCAGAAAATCTGTCAGAGAAAATGTAAAGATGGCTTGAATACTGTTACTTGTTGTATTTTCATTTGGCTTTCCTTTGGAACCCCAGTAAAGAATCTGAACTTTTTTTAGAAGCAAAATTAAAGTATTAACGAAGCTTTCCTTTTCTTTTTCCCCCATGTTTTTTCAGGATTTCTTTTTAATCAATTCATGTGTAGATGGTGTATTTTTTCCAAAGAGTCCCAAGCAATTACTGTCTGAAAAATCATTCAATGCAGTCCCATATATGATAGGAGTAAATAGCGGTGAATTTACATGGGGACTGCCTACGGTAAGAGACTTACAGTGTTGTTACCTAGGTATAATTTTGTAAACCTAAGATTTTTGAATAAATATGATTCTTTGTATCATGCTCTGTATCGTGCAGATGATGAAATTTCCTCCTTTCGTGGATGGTCTGGATAAAAATACTGCACGTGAAATTTTACAGCGCTCCTTAGTGGTATTACTTGAGGTAAGAGACCATTTTCAGATTAACCCAGCGCTGCTGCTTCACTTGCTCTGGTTCTGTGTTTGCACTCCTGGAGGGATAATATATCCCTCCACAGGCCAACTTTGTTGTGCTGAACAGCTTCCTACCACGGGCCAGTGGTGGGCACCAATGTGGTGTGTTCCTGTTACCTCCAGCGAGTGAAAATACTCCTTGCATTTCCAGCCTCAGTGCCCCTCTTCTTAAAAGGGAGTGCTGTGGAAATCCAGGAGTGATTCAGGTACCTAAACACAGATCTCTTGTGACACTTTAGATATCCCTGGGTTATCCAAGACATGCACAGTCCCTGCAGGTCTGACACAACACCACCTAATAAAGCACTGCTGGCAGACAGGGAAGGACAAATTGAGACGTTTAGGATGCTTGAGGTTTGGCCTCCCTGTACTTTACAAATCTCTGAGCTTTCTGGTGTCTTTGTGCTCTCCTGATACTACTAAATATGGGAAAATACAGGTTAAAAGGTAACAACTACAGACTCTGTAGCACTTGCAGTGGATCATTTCGTGTCACAGGCATCCATCATGAACTCAGAATGGGAGTAAATTATGGTCATCTACAACAATAAATGGATTTTATGAATCCAGAGGATTTCTTTGCTCTTGTGAGGCTTTGTTTCCACAGAATGGAGAACAATCAGCATCACTGGCTGCTGTTTATCTAAAGAGGTTTGGTCTTTAGATATCTCTTTTCCCTGAGAACACCCATATCTGGTAGCTGTGTCACTGCAGTCCTGAGCTCTGAGCCACACTCTGACAGTTGAGGGCTTTCTCTGAGAGGTGGTATTTGTGGTTTAGCCAGACACATGCACAGGCCACACTCAGTTAGTGCTGTTGCTCTTTATAATGCTCATGATCATTACAAGCAGTACTTTTCTTGTTCTTTCAGGGTGCTACGTCTGCAGTTGTTGATAGGCTGTACAATGAGTACCTAGGGAATGCAGACAGCCCGGCTCAGGTGCGAGACAGCCTTCTGGAAGCACTGGGAGATATCTTCTTTGTGTTTTCATCCCTTGAAATGGCGAAATTCCACAGAGGTAATTCAGCATCAGGAGAAGAAATGCAGAATTCTCAGGCAGGCTGTGGTGTGGACAGTGTGTGTCACACTTCATTACCCACAGAACTGAGAGTGCTTTCTCTTCACCAAAACAGCTGGTAAGGAAAGTTTGTCCTCTTTGGGGGCTCTCAGACTAACACTCTCTTGTGTATCTACCAGATGCTGGCAACCCAGTCTACTTCTATGAATTCCAGCATCGGCCGAG